AGTGGTGCTGTGCAGCCACGCAGCGCTGGGGGGCGCATCGGAGCTGCCGGCGGGTACCTTCTATGGCCACAGGGCCATTGCAGTTTTTATTTTTTTTTGTTAATCCTCAACCGAGGCTATATTTCCATTGACTTTTACAGTGCAAGGGAGGGGAGAGAAAGAAACATCGACACATCTGTCGGTGGCCTCCCACAGGAGCCCCCTCCAGGGCCGGATGGAGCCTGCAACTGAGGCCCGCACCGGACTCCGGACCCTTCAGTCCGCAGGTGGATGCCCTATCCACTGAGCCAAACTGGCTAGGCGCAGCCGTGGGCAAACTACGGCCCGCGGGCCGGATCGGCCCGTTTGAAATGAATAAATCCACGCTCTATCCACTGAGAAAAACCAGCTAAGGGTACAGCAAACTTTTTAAAGTTGAAAGTGTGCACTCTAAATGATTTTTAAAAGTGTAGTGTAGTAAATGCACAAATCAGTAATTTGGTCATTTATAACCATCAAGTATAAAGTTCTGAACATAATTATACGTGCTATATTTTTATACAACTGGCAGTGCAGGTTTGTTTACACCAACATCACCACAAACATGTGAGCAATGGGTTGAGCTATGACCTTACCACGGCTACGGCATCACTAGGCAATAGGATTTCCCAGCTCCATTATAATCCTGTGGGACCATCGCTGTATATGTGGTCTATTGTTGACCTAGACATCGTTCATCACTGCATATCTGTACAGCGTACAGCGTTCAGGGGTCATGGGCTCAGGAAGATTCAAGAATGCACTCCTACAGGCCAAATTAAGACGGACCCAAAGGTGCTAAAGGCTCAGAAAGTGCAATGTAATGACACAGAAATGCTGGTGCATGAAAGTTGCCAAATAGGGCAGACTGAGGCTGGTACAAAAAGGCCAGGCAGCCCTGGCCGATGTGGCTGCGTTGGTTGGAGCGTGGTCTGGCACATCAAAAGGTCTCGGGTTCCATTTCTGATCAGGGCACATACTCAGGTTGTGGGTTCTATCCCTGATCAGGGCTCATATGGGAGGCAACTTATCGATGTTTTTCTCTCACATTCATGTTTCTCTCTCTCTCTCTCTCTCTCTCTCTCTCTCTCTCTCTCTCTCTCATCAATAAAAACACATCTATCTATCCCTGGGTAAGGATTAAAAAAAAATTTAAGGCTCAGCAGTGTGGCTCAGTGGTTGAGCATCAACCCATGCACCTAGGGGTTGTATTCTGGTCAGGGCACATGCCTGGGTTGCGGCTGGGTCCCCAGCAGGGGACGTGCAGGAGGCAGCTCATGGATGTTATCTTTCATAGATGTCTCTATCTCTCTCCCTCTCCCTTCCTCTCTCTCTAAAACCAATTACAAATAATACAAATAAAGGCCAAGTGTAAGATACGGCAGTGCTAGGGCTGAGGTGGGATGACCTTGTATTGGGGAATCGGGAAGGAGCATTCACAGACACCCTGCCCCCCCCCCCCCCCCCCATCCAAGGGCTCAGGCATGGAAGATGGAGGGCACAGTGACCACAAGAATCGCAGCGCTGCTGTTGCTACTCCTCCTGCTGCTGGTGCTCGGCAGGCGAGGTTCAAGTGCGAGCACTGACAGAGCCGCCCCACAACCCCCTCGCCTACCCCGCCCCACCCCCGCCCCAGCTTCTTCCCCTGCTGGGGAGCTTGCAGCTGCTGGCGCCCGGACAGACCTTGCCTCTAGAGGCAGTGCTGACAGTGGGTGCTGGTACCGAATTCTGGATTCGTGGAGATGGGGCTGGGAGCTGGAGCTCCTGGTTCTCTGAATGAAGACAGCTGAAGGCTCGATGAAAGGTTTCGGCGTTCAGAGAAAGGACATTGGGTGGGGCGGGAAGCTGGGGCCTGGACTGCTGGTAGTCTGGGAAGAGGAGCGGGGTGGGGGTGGGGGGTCAGATCTCGAGGGAAGGGGGACAGTGGGCCTGAGCTCCAGTTAAGGGCGGAGTTGCACTACCCTATCCCCAACCCCATTCCTGGGCCCTGAGGGAGGAGCCTGAGCAATGGGTGGGGAGAGGGAAGTTCTGTGGGTGCAGGGGCCTGGGAACTGGACTCCTAGATCCGGAGGGAAGGAGAAAGAGGGAGCCTGGACTCCCGGGCCTGAGGGAAGAAGCTGGCGATGTGAACTCCTGAGCCTGGAATGAGAGGCTGAGACGGGAACTCCAGGGTCTGGAGGAGGAAGGAGCTGTGGGCCGGCTCTGGGGTCTGGGGTCTGGGGTGGCGCGGGGAGGAGCTCCCCAGGACCCGCTGAGCACCGCTCCCAGTAGCTCCAGCCTCAGGCCGGTTCACAGTGCTG